CTAGTGGAGAAGGCGTTTCAAGACCTGAAGACCGCATTTACTACGGCTCCACTCTTGGTACATCCAGACTTTACAAAGGCCTTTTATTTAGAAACTGATGCTTTGGATTTTGCTTTGGGAGCTGTACTTTCACAAATAGGAGAAGACAAGAAGTTCCATTTGGTTGCATTCTATTCTCGAAAGTTCTCTGCTGCTAAAATCAATTATGAGATCCACGATAAGGAACTTCTGGCTATAGTGGATTCTTTCCAAGAATGGCGTCACTTTCTTGAAGGAGCTGCACATCCAATGACCGTATACACAGATCACAAGAATTTGGAGTATTTCATGTCGGCTTGAGTTCTAAATCGACATCAAGCTCGGTGGAGTATGTCGCTATCTAGGTTCGATTTTGTTATCACTTATCGACCTGGAAAGCAACAAGGACTATCTGATGCCTTATTGAGGAGATCGTATCTTATACCAAAGGCTGGAGAAGCAACATTTGATCAACAATATACGACATTATTGAAGCCAGAGTAATTTCGGCTTTGCGCTACTATTGTGCCAATTGATGCTGACTTCGTGAATCAGGTACGTGCCGTTACCATTGAAGATTTAGTAGCCATTGATATCAAGCAGCGCGCCAATGACGACAAGTTCAAGGTGGAGGGAGATCTTTTATATTTTGAGGAGCGGTTGTATATCCCAAAAGGACCAGCACGACTCCGAGTTCTTCAATATTGCCACGATTTTCCAACTGCGGGACATTTTGGATTCAACAAGACCTTGGAGCTTATTTCTCGAGATTTTTGGTGGCCCCAAATGTGGAAGGATGTGAAAGATTTTGTCTTCTCTTGCGACATCTGTTCAAGATCCAAGAATCCTCGGCATTGCCCTTATGGACTCCTACAACTATTGCCGATTCCACATTGACCATGGTCTTCAATTTCCATGGACTTCATCACGGACCTGCCATCATCAAACTCATTTGACAGCATCTTTGTCGTGGTAGATCGGCTTACAAAGATGGCGCACTTTGTCCCTTGTAAGAAGACATCGTCCAATGAAGTCACAGCAAGGCTCTTTCTCGATAATATGTATTGATATCATGGACTATCAGATGATATCGTATCAGATCAAGGAACCCAGTTTGTATCAAAGTTTTCGAGATCTCTCTTTGAGATACTGAAGGTGGATATCAAGCTTTCTTCAGCTTTTCATCCTCAAACTGACGGCCAAACGGAACGGGTGAACTAAGTCTTGGAACAATACTTACGATGCAGCATCAACTATTAGCAAGACGATTGGACCGCATATCTGTCGCTCGTAAAGTTTGCATATAACAACACTATCTATTTATTGACTCAATACACACCATTCTTTTCTAACTATGGGTATCATCCGAAGCTTGATTTATTGAGTCCGTCAACAAATAACAATCCAGCACCTGAAGGATTTGCGAAACAATTATCAAAGCTTCAAAATACGTTGAAGCTGCAATTACAATCCGCTCAAGAATCCTACAAGGCGTTTGCAGATAGATTTTGGAATGAAGCACCTACTTTCACAATTGAAGATAAAGCATGGCTTCTTCGACAAAATATCAAGACCAAGCGACCATGTGATAAGTTGGACTATCGAAGATTGGGACCATTTATCATCCAGAAGCAAATCAATCTAGTGGCATACCGTTTGGAATTATCGGCTTCTATGAAGGTACATCCAGTCTTTCATGTTTCTTTGTTGGAGCCTTATCGAAAGTCATCTTTTCTTGGAGGAGTGCAATGTCCGCCACCTAATATTGAGATCGAGAACCACGAGGAATACGAGGTTGAAAAGGTGTTGGATTCACGGCGAAGGTGGGGCAAGTTGGAGTATCTTGTTCATTGGTGTGGCTACGATATTAATGAACGAACGTGGGAGCCAGTTGAAAATCTTGCTAATGCGCTACAAAAGGTACAAGAGTTTCATCAACAACATCCTCATAAACCTAAGTTGATTCGATGATAGCTTCCTTCTGAAGCTTGCTCATTGAAGAATATAAGAAAGGGGGAGAGCACCACCAAAATTTGTAGTTGATGTAGTTATTTTCTCCAAGATAAAATAGAATTTTTTTAGTAGCCATAGTTTGGTCTTCTGATATGGATAGCCAAGAGATAGATACTATGCCAGTCAGATTATCTCAACCAACTAGCTCACGAAGGCGACCCCGAGATGAACAATTGCCTACACGACAAGGACGACGGAGGATACCGAGTAACCGATCATTGGTGATTGCATTTGAGTTCGAGCCTGCTTACGATGGTCAGTTAGAAGGCGTGTTTGGAGGACAATTTCACAATGAGGACACGGAAGTTCATGCTTGGTGAGAAGTCGAAGGCGTGGGCCACTACCATTGGCTTCAAGGGCCGATGAACTACTTGCCTCGTGAACAATAGTTGAAATTCTTAGCAGACGTTATGCGACAGATCTTCATTTTCTTGCATTGATATTGATTAACAACAACATTGCTTCTCAGAGACCTCGAAGCTAAAGGAGGGAGTGATGTTAGGGACATAGTCCTTAGAACTTTTTAGAGACAAGTTTCTAGAACCCTCTAGAGACTAGTTTCTAGAACCTTCTAGAGACAAGTTTGTAGAATCTGCTAGAAGCAAGTCTCTGGAACCTTCTAGAAGCTTCTTAGTTGATAGAAGATATTAGGGACATAGTCGTTAGAGTCTTTTAGAGACAAGTTTCTAGAACCTTCTAGAAGCAAGTCTCTGGAACCTTCTAGAAGCTTTTTAGTTAGTAGAAGTTACTTAAGAAGCTTCTTAAATAGGAGTATATATTAGAATCGAGGCTGAAGAGTTCTTTAGTCTTGACAATACATCTCTTGGAGCTGTAGTTCACCTCTCTGGTGTTGTTCTTGTATTCATCTGATTAATCTAGTTCTTGCTAGTTCTTCTTGAACTTCTTGTTAGATCACGAGTCTGTATTTCTGCGTCCGTGATACTTAACATATAAAAATATAGCATAAATAATATTACTACCAATATGACTAACAACAAATATATTGTTATCATTAACCAATTATATAATTCTTAAGAATAAGTTTTGACGTTTTTGAATATATCAAAGTATAGTTTTTTACAAATATGCTATCTTCATAGTTAGTGGTACTTCAAATAAAAGTCTCATGTTTGATTCCTTGAAATAACCTTTATTAAATATACTAATGGTTTATATAACAATCTTTGATTTTGACTTAGCTAAATCGTCCTTAGTTGAAGGCTTTGCAATTGCTTAAACCACTTCCAAAGAAGATATTTGCACCTTGCCTTCCAACAACTTATCAATTAGTTAAAAAAATCCGAATTGGTTTAAATTTTGAAAACTACACATCAATACTAAATAAAATATATCTATTTAATATTTAAGCAAAAAAAAATATTGTACATTTTTTTTTAGATAATTAGAATTATTTTTAATATGAACATACTAAAAAATTGAATTTTTGTCAAGTTACTTGTAGTAGTTGCAACTTTCTTAGGCTTAAGCACATCTATCATCTAAGCAACCATATTAATAGCATTATGTTGACAAAAGGTCCTATTATATTTCTTAATTTTAGTAAATATTTGTGTTAGCATTGTCTTACAATTATATTTTAAAATAGTACTTAATATGGTTAATTTTAGCAATTATTTGTCAATTTTAGATAAAAAAATTCTAATAAATTGGCTTGTAGCAAATATACCACTTGATTCTACTGCAAATCAAGCCAAAAAAATACACATAATATATAGAATGTCTTATTTTTTATGTCAGAAGGTTGAAATAGTATATATTATTTTTAATATTATTTTTTTATTTAAAGGTAAATCATTAATGTTATTTTGGAAGATTCTTTTTTAAATTGACATACATGAAAAGGTTTAAAATTTATAATTTTCTTATAATAATATATATATTTTAAAATCTTTGTATTGTATCCACTTTTCATTACTTGTATAAAATTTATCCCTTCTTCTGAAATTCTTTTAACATCTATGTTAATATTTTAACATATTCTTTATAAAAAAATAGTTATTATGAATTTCTATAATATATAATAAGTTTTTGGAAAAATAAATTATTTTTTTTAATATAATACTTTTGCACAATTAGGTATGTATTCAAAAACATCTTTTTAAAAACTTTGATTCTCATATATACATACATATACATACATATAGACTTGCATGGTTTTAATATATTAAGTAATAATTTGCTTTGTAATATAAATTTCTTGATAATTTTGATTATGGATTATGTTGCAACATGAAATATATATATATATATATATATATATATATATATGTTTTTTACCATTTTTCTAAAAAAAAATCTTATCCTTTCAAAATTAAGATTGTGAGCAAAGTTTGCTCCAACTTAGAAATGAAGTCAATAAATATGCTAGTAAATCAATCAATCTAAGAACAATGCGTAAATACTTGATATTTTACATATCACATCTTTGAATACTTCATTCTTCAAAAACTTCACCAGTATTTACACCACCATGAAAATACATCTAATTTTTTCACAAAAATTTGATTGCATACTATACACTTTAAATCCACATGAACAACAATCACAAATTCACTTCACATGTGAACATGAAAGTACACCACCATGAAAATACATCTATTTTTTTCACAAAAATTTGATTGCACACTATATACTTAAAATCCACACGAACAACAATCACAGATTCACTTCACATGTGAACGTGAAAGCAGGAGCAAACAAGAAAAGTAAAAAAAAAAAAAAAAAAAAAAAAAAAACACACACACACACACATTCATCCACTCTAAAAAGCAAAAGTAGTGGAAAGGCCTTTGGCGTTCACGTTTTGGGTGCTCTCCCCCACGGAGAACGTTCGACCCCTAAAGCCGACCCATTGCGATAAGTGACAGTTGGCAATTGGTACACGTCACCACCCCCACTCGCCGCTTCTGCATCCAGTGCCCGCGTATGGCCGTCGTCTTCTTCGCGGCCGTGGCCGAGTTTGCTTGCAAGCTCAGTCCCACCCTCGCGAGAGCCCCCCCCCCAGTTTATTCTATTCCTTCTCGACAGCCTGTGTTACCCAGATCTGTCACTTGCAGCATACATCTTTCCATCTCCCCTGCTCAGGACCTCCCTCCCCACTTGCCCATTCGAAATTTCTCTCTCTCCTCTCCCCTCTTCGTTTCGAATTCGATCCGGCGCCATGTCGACCTCGGCGGTGTTCAATGGGGATGAGGTCGCTCCTTTCTTCGGCTTCATCGGAGCCGCAGCTGCCCTCGTCTTCTCATGTACGCAATGTCCGCCCCTGATGTAGTTTAGAATCGGGTCTATTTGGTGATGGGTTTCGTGGTATTAGATGGATTTTTGGAAGGAGTGCTACGTCCTTGAGTGCGACCTAATGGGTTGTGGTTCGGATGTTGAGATTCGGCGCTGATTCAAGCTTTGCTTCCGTAATCGATGTTTGTGGTTGTGTTGGACGAATTTTTTTTAGTACTATCTGTTGTGAGTGGGTGCCTTCTGGACAACCGTGGCACGGAATGGTTGTTTTTGTCTGCGAAGATGTCGCTTGCGCTGGTGTGCTTTGTGGGGCGAGATCCTTGTCTTGTTAGGGTTGGACTGTGGTGATGCTATTTTTTTGATATGGAGTGAGGTAATGGATTAGGGTATATTGGAGACGTTCGATGTTTGTAGTTTGTCGATGCGAGGTGTACGTATTACAAGTAGAGATTCCTGCTTAATGACTTTAAAATAAGTGGTGCTGTCGAAATTTGACAGTTTCGTATGCCTATGCGTGATTTGTATTAGAATTCGCAAGAGTTCCTTTTAGTTCAGTAAGAATTATTTATTTGATGTAATATTCATTTAATGAGCTTTGTTGTCTTCTTTTTTGGGGACAAAAGTTGTGGATTAGTCGTACGAAAAACTGATACAAAGGATTGGCTATTGTTGTCGTAGCGTACAAGATTTTCACCGTGCAGTTTAATTTTCTTATTTGGAGCGTGATTTTGAACTTCCTGGACTCTGACAAAGCGGTGGTTGGTTTTGATTCAGGCATGGGCGCTGCATATGGAACAGCCAAGAGTGGAGTGGGAGTGGCATCCATGGGTGTGATGCGGCCAGAGTTGGTGATGAAATCTATCGTGCCAGTAGTCATGGCTGGAGTATTGGGTATTTACGGACTGATTATTGCCGTTATCATTAGCACTGGAATCAACCCCAAGTCAAAGCCCTACTACGTGTTTGACGGCTATGCGCATCTTTCATCTGGTCTGTCATGTGGGTTAGCCGGCCTGTCCGCAGGCATGGCGATTGGCATCGTTGGAGATGCTGGTGTCAGGTAGTAATCCCGTCTCTACGTTTTTCTGCATTTAGTATTTTTCTTTTTTTCTTCTTTTTTTTTTCTGCTTGATATGATTTCCTATTGCTTTATTTATTTTCTGTGAATTGCCATTATGCATCATGTGATGCAATTTTTGTTACCTGATGTATTCTTTGACCGGATTATGGTTATACGTCTGTAGAGCGAATGCCCAGCAGCCCAAGCTCTTCGTTGGTATGATTTTGATCCTCATTTTTGCCGAGGCGCTTGCTTTGTATGGACTTATCGTCGGCATCATCTTGTCTTCCCGTGCTGGACAGTCCCGAGCTGACTAGACCAACGTTGATCAGGTTCGATGTTTTCCGACAGTATAGAAGGTGTGAGCACACGTCCTAGATGGTTATTAGCAGAGGCTTGTGTATGACCATTCACTGGAATCGGTTTTCCCCTTTTGCAGAGGATGTTGTAGCAGAGGCTTGTAGTCATTGGCAAATTTGATTTTTTAATGTAGCGTTTGGATAGATGTCCCCCGCCATGATGTCGATACCAATGACACCTTATAAATCATGCCGGTCAACTTCAAGTGGGTGGTTTGAAGGGCTTTGAATTCTTCGTTTTTTTGATGCAATTTCATTGATTATTGAGATTGATTACTCTAGAAATCATTTTCTTCTAGTTAAGCTGCATCTCTGGTCTAATCATAGCATGTATAGTTCTGGACTGTGTACCAATTCTGCAAAATGCTTTCCCATTTGTTTAGAACCTACACATATGTAGAACTCAAATGAGTGAAACTTTCTCTATTTTATGCCAGTTGTAATGCGAAAATTCCAAATTCACGGTCTCAGTTGTGGAAATTTCCGAAGGACTTGGGACTAGTGCTGTTTTGATATCTTAGGGAAAAAGCATTTATTTACGTTTCATGTTAGTGATCATTTCAATCCTACACATCCCTGTTTTTGTTTGCAACTCCTGCAAGGTACATTAATTCTCTTCTTAAGCATAAACAAACGTATCATGTTGCTAGTTTTTTTTTGTTTACGAGTCTAAAAACATCTTCATGACGACTTCTTAGAAATTATGTTAGACAGTAAATTGCTAAGGAGGCTTTTAGATTTTTTTAAAAAAGAATTGTGTTAAGAATAAAATTTGCTCACCATACAAAGTCTATCTTAGTCTTCTGTTGCATACATTAAAAGTAATTTTAGAAGAAACCTAAGATTATACTCTCTTTCTGGCAACTCTATCTAATTTCAAAATAGATATTTACGCTATAAATTACACAATATCCACTTCTCTGTAAAATAGATAATAATATGAGCTTGTGAATTACAGTTTCAATTCCATCTCATAATATTTGATAATTCATAATGTTCTCACCAAAATTGAGAAGTATTGCACTACTAGAATATAAAAAGGCTTAATATTAAAACCTATGAAAGTATTATGCTAAGGATTCAAAAGACTCCATAAGAGATTACATATATTTGGCTTGGTTTTGATAATAAGATTATTTAAATTTTGTAAAATTTAAAAAATCGAATTTCTTTTGTAATTGACTAACAGTACTTCTCACAAATAAATGATAAAATGGTATTATTATTATCATTACTCCTAAATTCTTACACCTCGTAATAGATCTAATATGTTCTTTTTATGACACCACCAATTACAACTTTCATGTATATATATACATAAATATATTTCTAAATTATTCAAAAGTGCAACATTCAAAATCAACAAAAAAATTAAACTCGCTAATTTTTTTTAAACTTATATATATATATAGTTGTCTTTATTTTGTATATTTTGACACAATAGTTGCTCAACTAATGTGTTCATTGCATAGTATTTCTTTTATGAGTTCAATTCATTAAAATTTACACTTATTTTATTTTTGTTTGTAAAGTATTCCAAGAACATTTTTACTAAATCATTTTCAAGTAAGAATTTTCTAAATTAAATTCTACTTATAAATCTGCCTATTTGTAAATAGTTATTATAAAGTTATCAAATTACAATCTTAAATGATTTCTTTTCTAAACTATGGTCTATTTCATTCAATTTGTATTTATTTAAAAAAAGAAATCAACCACATTTATCAATATCCAATCTAATATCTTAGTTTGTAGTAAAGTATTTAAAATGAATATATTTTATATAATTTTTGAATTTAAAAATAAAAATATAATAATTAAATGGATATCTCATGGTTACATTTAGAATTTAGAGAGTTGTAATTATAAAAGATAAAACTATTGTATAGTTTGTCTGTTTGTTTATTATTATTATTATTATTATTATTATTAATTTTAAAGTATCAAGGATCTCTTAAATTGAAATAAAAAAGAAAACAAAATGAGTGGTGTGTGTTTTTAGAATCTTATATAATCATATGATAAATTAACATTGAAAATATTTATAAATAATTATTTTTTATATAATCTTTTATAAGAAAATAAATTTTAATTATTAAGACAATATATCAAGGACATAAATTACAAAAAAACCTTGAGCAAATAATATAAACGTGTTTTATTAAAGAAAAGAGAAAATAAAAAAGAAGAGATAATTATGAAATAAAAAAAATAATTAAAATGGTTATCGCCAAATAAAAAGAGATTAGAGAGTTTTAAATAAAAAATGAAACACAAGAAAGATATTAATTAGTTTTAGATTGGTCTTAGTCTTGCTTTTACATATACTTACTACCAAGTTCTTACAGAACCTTCTTAAGAACTACAAGGCTTGTGGCTTAAGCATTAAGTTGTATAATTTTTGTAATGCATTTTTCTAAAATTAAAAAATATGTGGTACAAATTTTAACAGCCATGTAGAATATCTATAAAACTCTAAATATTTAATCTACAACTAAAAAACTTCTTCAAAGTTTCTTAAAAAATATGTTATCTTGTTAATATGTTTCTACTTATTTTTGCCTTTATCTATTTATTTATATATATTTAAGCATTATAGGTATCTCTTTCATTATCATCTGTTCTAGAGAGTAAATTGCATAAAAAATGGTCAAATTGCTTTATAAATGGATGGAATTTAAGATTTATTGACTAGTATTAAGAACAAATTCTAATTTATATTTTGTAGAAAAATAATTGGTAAGTTCCTTCAACCATTAATAATGTTCTATACTAGAACAAGAAGACTATCTTATTATTTGATTATTATTAGAGCCTTCATGAATACCTTCAAATAATACATTCTATATTTTATTAAGTATATGGTCTACCTCTAATATTATCACTAAACATCAAGAGTGTCTTCTAAGGTTGTAGTATCAAACATGTTATATCATGTCATCTATTTAAGGAAGGACATATTCTTCTTTAAGATCTTCATTATAAAATAATGTCATTGAAGTTGAGCAAACTTAATAACTTCATTTGGCAATTTTGTAAATAAATTTTTTTAAAATAAATTTTCTATTTATTAGTTCTTCATATTGTAAAGAATTTCTATTAGATGATCTTTAAATTTTTTTTTACCATTATATTATCAATAGTTAGTATTTGATTTTAATAGATGTTATCAATGAAATTAATAACAAGCTTTAATGCATTTTAAATATTTTTTAATAACTTCTATATTTATCTATTAATATTAATTCTAATATAATATATAAAATATTATAATTTTTTTTTTATTATTGCCTTGAATCTAAGTTTTTTTTTTAATATTTTTAAAAAAATTCTTAGTTGATATTACCAACATGAATCACAATAAATAAAACTACAATATTCTTTGGTGTTACTTAGAAAGAATAGATATTCATTCAAAATTAGTATAATATTAAAAATAAATTGGCTATTGCGAAAGATAAGAAAACTAAAGACTCTTTGAATAGGACCAAAGATTAGAGAGGCATTATATAACAGGATATAAATAAGATAATTGTATTATTGACACATAAGAATAGATAATTAGAACCATATTTGAGAAGTTATGGAAGTTTCTAAAATTAGAACCAGATTAGTGGACTATGTAGGATCTATCATGGAACATTCTAAAAAGAGCTTAGGGTGGTTATTTAGGTAGGATCTACCATAGAACCTTCTAGATTGAATTTAGGACAATTATCTAAATGGGGTCCATCATCTAAAAACATTCTAGAAAGTTTAGGATTCTAGAATAAAGTATGAATAGGACTAGCTAGGGCCTTTTGGGGCATTTGATCAAGTATGGCTTCGGACCTTTTTTGTTAATAAAATTTGAGTATATATCTTCTTGTTCTATTCTATTTTGTTCTAATTTTGTTTGTTCATTTTTGTCTTTTGTGTCTTATTTTGTTTACTTTTATTCAGTTTTATTCTGATCTTTTTGTCTTATTTTGTGATAAGGTTTTATATTGCTATGGATTAAAAGGCTCTTAGATACTTAAGATAGACCAATCATGTTTTATTGGTATCAAAGCAAATATTAGAGTGTTCTTTGGTAGTGTATCAATAGTCATTATCTAGTTGAAGGTTAGTTGTTATGGTTACACTGGGTACTGTGTTGAGGCTACCATAAGCTACTCTTAAAAAATCAATTAGGAGGTGAGAAGGCATTACAAAAGTAAAGTCAAGTAAGGAATTATAGTATGGAAGATATGGTAGAGCAATCATAGATAAAAGCTCAAATAAAGTATTTCTTAGGCCACTTAGCTACTTTACAAGGGCAAATAGAAGCCTCTAAAACAAGAAAGTTGAAATTTGTAAGGCTGAAATTTAGTAAGCTTAGTACATATTTTGGAACTTCAAGCAAGAAGATGTATGTCAATGGCTCTTCAACATGCGGCAATAGCTCCAATTATCTAGGAAAAATACCACTCAAGGAATTATGTATGTAGCTAGCTATTTGAAAGATGCGACAGCCATTTAGTGGTGACATTGAATTCAAAACTATAAAACTCAAGGTAGATTTTGTGATTGGGAAGAATTTGACACCGAGTTTAGAAATCAATTTTGGCTTGTTAATACAAAGAAGATAGCATGTAATCAGTTGGCAAATCTTAGACAACCTAAGTTGGTGCAAGTTTATGTTTTTTGATTCAAGTCTCTATATTTCCAAATTAGCAATGTTTTGGAGGCAAAGATGATAGATTAATTTCTACGAGATTAGAAACATAGGGTCCAGCGAGAGGTGGAATTAAGGGATTTATAAATAATTAAAGAGGCAATTAAGTTTGCACAGAAAGTCAATACTGTAGATTTTAAAAATTGTAGAGTACAATCTATAGCACGAAGTCATATGCCACTATTTAATACTATTGCATAACAACCAACGCCAATGGAGATTAATACCTTATAAGAATCACCGACACTACAAAGATGAAAAATATTAGTGGAAAGAGATTTCTATTTTTATTATTAGAAATCAAGCCATCAAATTGGAGGTTGTCCAAAATGCCAAAATTTAAGCATCAAAAAAACAAGGCATGTTTACAATCTTGAAACTCACCAAATCAATAATAAAACAGAGTAGGGAAATGAGGCCTCCTAATAAAGGCACCAAGGGCTAATACTTGGAATAGCTACTATTTCTCAAAGATAAATAGCTGTCAAGGACAAGAACTTGATGAAAAAACAATTCACACAAGTGAGCCTTCACTCAAAGAGATGTAACAAAATA